CCGCGGGTTATTCGCGTGTGCGGGTTATTTGCGTGGGCGGGTTATATGGGTGAAAATACGGTACCCACTTAACAACCAGCATGACTTACAAGCTATAATTCTGGGCTCAATTACCCTGTTTCCCCGAAAGTGAAAATAAGACCTCCCTGTATAATAAGCCCAGTTGGGCTTTTGAGTGCATGTGCTAAAATAAGCCCTCCCCTGAAAATAAGCTCGCCCCTGAAATATTTAACCACATGCGCAGCCAGTCCTCACCATTTCTTGGGGGGAAGGGGGAAAACATGCCCCATATACCCCACATGCACCTGCCATCCATGCAGAACAGCTTCATGGAGGCCGCTCCCACAAACCCTAGCTACCGCGCCCCTTCTGTTAGTGGCACCTGCAGAAAGAGCAGCAGGCCCAGTGACACTAGGACTGGCAAGAGTGTGCCAGAAACAGAGGCAGAACTTCTGGCCCTCTCTGGATCAGTTGATCCTTGGGCTCTGGGTCGAGGTTAAGGGGCCTCTTGCATCTCAAAAGACCTCCCCAAAAATAAAGCACTTATCTTATTTTTGGGAAAACATGGTACAGTTGTAAATCAGCTACCACCTTGCCTAGTTATCTACATTCCTCAGAATCTCTTCCCCCTTGTAAGGTTTTTGGTTCTTTGATGAGAAATATATTATCCAACAGGTTTTGAATGCACCTTTCCATCTTGTGCTCTGGAAGATCATGAAAATCATTCTTTTCTCATCAGCTTTTGGATCCACTTGATTGATGCTTATGTGTGTGTGTACATTTCATTGAACTTTGTTTTACTACTTACATTATCCTGGTTGAGTCTTAATTTTTGTACACTTTTGTAAGTGTACAAATTGTACACTTGTAGTTGTAAAATTGTGGTAGTTAATAGCTCTGTTAAACAAACAATATTACAGAGGCTGATTTTCTACAGCAAATTATAGGGGCATTTGTGTTGTTGAAGTGTATTCCAGTAGACAGATACAAGGCTATAGGTTTAATTTAATCTGAATCTGATATTTCAAAGTTCAATTCCACGTACGATCAGAAGATTATACAGTTTAAATAGGAGCAATATTATAAAAAAGAGTTGTAAGTGAGCACACCAATGTGAGTTCACTGTGTATTAATGCATGTTTTCTATGTCTGGATGTAAGGTAAAAGAGATTTTTGCAATGCTGAGAGTAAAAGAATCCATGTTTTAGCTGTCGCTGCAGTTGCCTTGATGCAATTACAAAGAGATGGATTTTGATGGTTCTTTATTATGAAAATACATTTTCTTACATATTTGACTGCTGCCAAATAAATAGTCTTGGACTTACTATCATAATTGAGCTGAACATTTGTTACTGAAAAATTTGTTAAGTGAACTTTGCCCCATTTTATGACTTGTCTTGCCACATTTGTTAAGTGAATCAGTGCAGTTGTTAAGTTAGTAATACAATTGTTAAGTGAATTGACTTTGCTTGTCGGAAGGTTGCAAAAGAGGGTCACATGACCCCTGGACACTGCAATGATCATAAATATGAACCAGTTGTCAAACATTCAAATGTAAATCATGTGACCATGGGGATGCTGCAACAGTCATAAGTGTGAAAAATTGACATAGGCCACTTTTTTCAGTGCCATTGTAACTTTGAACGGTGACTAAATGAATTATTGTAAGTCAAGGATTATCTATACTAAGTTGATAATAGCTGGTAAGTGATTCTCAAACCTCCTAAAGTGCTTTGGTGGAAAACCACAATCTCAATGACTTCAGAGTTTCCTGCTATTTTGGTCCTTGTATATTGATCCAGATTCTCCTTGTCCTTAGATTCACCAGGGCACAGTCCCTGTTTCATATACAGTGACAACAGTAGCCCCACATGGGATACCACTTTGCACAGGCCAGCACATACCAGCTTGCAATACGCAGCAGGTCCCAGGGTGTTCTGTGGTTTTCAGTGGGCAGCACCTTCCTGTCTGCAGTGTGCCTCCTCCAGTAAGTAGTTCTTTAATTTTAATTTTGGAATAATTGAAAATAATTGGAAGAGCAGACAGCTTTAAAAGAATGTATTTATACCTGAATTGTATGATTATCTATAAATATAAATAACTAAAATTAAATTTTAGTGATATTTAACTTACATGTTAAAAAGTTAAGTTTTTTGTAATAGTGCATCATCATGTATTTAAATGACTGTTAAACTGTTTATTTCACAAACTTAATTACTTCAAGAGTAGAATATTGGCTCTGTTCTCCTTGATATTTTTGAACATTACTTCCATAAAGTAGTTTGTGTACAAAGTTTGAAAATACCTGTTTTATCTTGCTGTTAGTAATAATTGTTGTAGTACCTATTCCACCTTTCCTTTTATGTTTATTGAAGGTGGTGAACATTCCCAATAATTCTGTCTACTGTTTCCCCTACAACATGAGTGTCAAACTCACGGCATCCCATTGCTGTCACATGATGTATTGGGCCTTTTTTCCTTTTGTGGAGCTGGGGTGGGCGTGGCCTGCATGTGATGCATCCAGCCCATGGGCTGCCAGTTTGACACCCCTGCCCTCAACACTTCTGTGAGGTGGGTTGAGCTGAGAGAAAGTGATTAGCCCAAAGTTACCCAGCCAGCTTCCATGTCTAAGGAAGGCTTTAGTTACTACTTTTAACAATTTTGGCTCAGAGAATTCTTTCAGAACTGTTATTTTAAAGTTCAAATAAAATGCCTTTCCTATATTTGACATTCTAGGCAGATTTTTTTTTAAATAAATTATCCTCCCTTTCTCAGGTGCTACTACTCTGAATAGTTAATAACCTAATAGTAAAAAATACATCAGTGCATATATATTGAATTGACTTTCTGACATACAGCCCAGTGGCAATGAAAGAGCTTATAAATCTTATGCTAGTATCCAGAATTCCTACAGAAGAAACCTAACATTGCTTAAGCTGGATTTAAGATTCCAAATAATAGCATTGTAGTAAATTCTCCATTTGACATAGATGGAGTTTACATAGTTTGTAATTAAGTAATTGTTTAATTTCTAAACTATTGGAGTTATGTAATTCCTTAGAAAAGTTTAATTCTGCCATTCCAGTAAGTTATTTCTTCTTAATTTGCATAATTAATGTTGCTTTCATTAATAAAAGGGAAATAATCTATACTGTTGCAATAATATTTGTAAAATAAATACAGCTTTATTTTATCTTATTTCTTTATAAACATAAGCATCCGAATATTGTATGTTACATAAGGTTGTATATGTTTATCTTTTGCAGATGCTTCAAGCTTGTTCTGTTCAACATTTGCCAGTTCCATATGCAGCTTTCCCACCCCTCATTTCTAGTGATCCATTTCTCTTACATCCTCCACACCTCTCCCCACACCATGCTCCACATTTGCCACCTCCAGGCCAGTTTGTTCCTTTTCAGACACAGCAATCGCGATCGGTAGGTGTTCCTTTTTTGAAAATCTAGTAATACATTTTGGAATATTGTATTTAAGATAATCATGTTTCGATAACTGGCTACCAAAGATTGTTCCACTATTAAATTGAAAAATTCCATGAGTAAATTCTTGTGATATGCAAAACCTGTGATATACAAAAGCAATCTAGCTTTAATCATGTTGTCCAAGATTGATAGAGGAACAGAATAAAAAATGAACTTTTCAGTTTGTATTGTGGCACTGGATTTCCTATCTAATGTGGAAAGAATAAATGAAAGGTACTAGTGCTGTTTAAATAACCACTGGGGGTTCAGTTTTGAATTTAACTGCAGTTTCAGATTTAAGAATATAGCTCTGCTTCAGTAAAATCCCTTTACATCTTTTGTTATTCACACAGGGATTGTTAAAAAATAAAGCTTAAATGTATATATTTTAGTCTCACTGTAATAGTGAAATATCTCCTGGTGCTTTTCAGAAGTATTCAGACCAAGTTTCAAAAGAGTCTTCAGGGGCAGGGATCCAAAATTGAGGTGACAATGGCTAGCAAATGAAGCCCGTTGTTACTAAAATGCTAGATTGCCTATGCCAAGAAGGCTGTTAATTTGGCAGTATAATATAAAATCATCTGTTCATCTTTGCTTTAGTTTTTCATGCTGCTGCCCAGAAAAAAATTGTAATTTTCTAACTTAGACTATGGTGGTAGTTCATGTAACACAAGGTTTTCCTGAAAAAGAATTAGGCAACTTGTGGTTTGCATATGGTCTCCTTGGCATCTCATCCTAGAAAATTCTGAGATTAAACTTGGAATTTGATATTAGGTTAGCTATTTCTTGATGTGAAAATGCTCAGAGAAGAATGGAGTTATGCATACAAGCCAAAGGTACTTAATCTTCCATGTCCCACAAAACCTCAAAACCACAAAAATGTGAATTTTATGCTTGTCAGTTTAAAGATTCAACCTGCAAAACATTCCCCTTATTCTTTTCTAAGGTGCTTTGCTTAGTTAAAAGTTTGAGTGAACACTCTTGGAGCTATCTTACAAAACAGTGCAATCCAGTAAAGTTATGACAATCGTGTTGTTTTATTTTGTCCTGTTTCATAGCTCCTTCTCAGCACAGCAGCTACACAGCAATTTCTTCTGGCTTCAGCAGATACTGGTGGACAATTGTTTAGAGTTGCTGTGAAGTAATGCTCTTCTTTGGCTTATCAGTTTTCTGCAACAATCCATGCCAAGTTTGGGCGGGGGGAGGGTAGGGGTGGAGTTAAAAGCTTATCAATTGTACAGTATTAGAAAAAAGTTTGTTCATAAATACTGTATAATAAATAGCAACCATGGTAAATCAGACTACAAATTAATTACATTTTATACTGTTTAGCATCATAATGAATGCTTTGAAATAAGTAAGATTAATTTCAAGCAATACATTCTGTGTCTTCAGCACTGCTCTGAAAACAGTATAAATGTCCATTGTCCGTTTGTTTAATTAGCCAACTAACCATATATTTAAAATGTTAAATATAATATGATGTTTCTCTTTTCTTTTTCCTTAGCCTCTCCAAAGGATAGAAAATGAAGTAGAGTTACTTGGAGATCATCTTCCTGTAGGAGGTTTTACCACCTATCCACCTTCAGCCCATCCACCAACATTGCCTCCCTCAACTCCCCTTCAGTTCCTAGCGCATGACCCTTTACATCAAGAGATGTCATTTGGAGTAGTAAGTGATGTTTGCCAATATACTGTCAAAGTTTGATAAAAACCTTTTGTTTTAGCTTTTTAATGCACATTTTGGTCACATTTATTCAATTTCTAATAGCTGCCCATCTCAATTGATGACTCTGGGCACTCAGTTTAAAAAAACATAGTACAATTAAAACAAACTATTTTAACACAAAAAAACATAAAAAAATCCAAAACACATAAACACATTAGCCGAGATACATGACCAATTAAAAATAAAGTCAGGAAATGGAGTCCTTACCATATTTGGCACCCGGGCTCAGGAACACAGCCAGGTATTTAGAGCTTTTATGAAAGGCTAACAAGGTTTGGGCCATTCTAATCTTCAGGGGGAGGATATTCCACAGAGCTTGGGCTACTGCAGATCAGCAATAGCACTTATATAGCGATTCCTGTTGCTTTACAGCTCTCTCTAAGTGGTTTACAGACTGAGCATATTGCTCCCAATAATCTGGGTCCTCATTTTACCAACCTATGAAGGATGGAAGGCTAAGTCAACCTTGAGCCGGTCAGGATCAAAGGAATTGAACTCCTGGCAGAGAGCAGAGTTAGCCTGCAATACTGCATTCTAACCTCTGCACCACCATGACTCATGACAAGGCCTGTCTTCTAGTCCCTGCCAACCATCACTCTTTGGCTAATAAGATCTGCAGCATGCCCAATCTGCTAGATTGAATTGGACGGGTAGAGACTCTTGAAAATTGTATCATGTGAAGTATTTACTTGTCATGTTTATATATCATAAATCAATTATGATTCCTTCAGGGGATACATTAGGGAACAAAATAGCAAACAAAAATACACCCAATTTAAACTAGCAGCAACACTGTTTCTCATGACATAACTCTAGAATTTAGAGAAAACTATCCAAGGTGCTATGGATCTAACTTTGTGGAGTAGTTGAAAATCTATTGTATTCTGTTGGGCCATCAAGGAGAAATAATGCCTCTGGGCTCTCACTTATCTCACAAAAATTGGGACCACGAATTGGAGGCCAGCCATCTAATTGGGCTGAATACAAAGGATGTGGCATTTGCATGCAGAAGAGACTGCTCAGAAGATAATCTGGGAACTGGATTTTACAGAGTTTTCAAAGTTAAACCGGGTGCTTTAGAAACATCATAGGCACTACATTGGTTGCAATGTAGTGCCTACAGTATAGATGGTATATAATTATGGATGCTTTTCCCCTTTTCCATGAAGACTACTGCATTATGTATCAATTGCAGTTCCCTAGCAATGTTTAAAGATCCCATTTGAATACATTGCTGTAGTTTAGTCATGATGAAAGTGTGAGTTATTTTTACAGCGCTTTTACTGCAGGAAAAAAAACATTGTGATAAAAAATACTTTGAATGTAAAACCTTTTTTTAGTGCCATGTATGACTGATTTCATTTAATAACTGACCATACTTTTAAAACACTTTGCTTTGTTTCTTTTAGCCTTATCCACCCTTTATGCCTCGAAGACTCACAGGGCGCAGTCGATATCGATCTCAGCAACCAATTCCGCCTCCCCCTTACCATCCCAGCCTATTGCCATATGTGCTGTAAGTTTGACATCTATTTTTATAAATTTAAGGTGGATGACACTTTTTTGCTAAAAGGCAAAGGTAGTCTTCAATCATGTGTTAAGCAACCATTTGAAATTACAAAGAGACTAAATGAATGGTGGTCATGACCAGTCATTCCTGCATCCTGGTGCATGATCTGGGCACTTAGCAATCAGCTCACACTTAAAACTGGTTTCAACTCCCCATTATCATGCAATTGCTATTTGCAATTTTCCATGCTGGCTTCCCCTAAAAATCAGAGGGGAAGCTGACAGGAAAGGTTGCAAGGCATTAGAGTAAGTTTCCCCATACATGCATCTTCCCCAGCCCCTTCATTGGCCACTTGAACACCATTGTATTAACTCTCTAGGCTTCTCTGTGTCTCCTTCCGTGCTCTCACACTTTCTCTGCAATTTAATCTTGTATTACTTCATGTCTTCCCCCACCTGGCAGCAGCCACTTACCTGCCTGCTAGCCTGCTTAGAAACTACTTGGGATTTACAGCTTCCTGTCAGCTTCCCCACTGATTTGGTTGGGGGCTGGCAGAAAGTTGTCTTGTCTAATAACCATGGAATTTGGTTAATAACAACAATCCCAACTTCAGGAATTGCCATTGCTAGGTGATGCAGTTGTGCTTTATGATTGTATTGCTTAGCAATAGGAATTCTTGTCCCAATTGCCATCCTAAATCGAGGACTACTTCTGTTTCATTAATCCCCAGAAAATACATGATGTTTTAATCAAACACCCTACAGAAAGCATGACATATTGTCATGGAAACTATTTTAATCTCTGTGTATTAGCCCTAGTATCCATGCAAATGTACTGCTATGCTACTATTCTTGTGCTGATCTCTTTCTTTGCATTCAGGTGAATAAGAAAACTTTCTAGATCATGAATGAGTAAATGTTTTACTTTACATCCCGAATAATGAGCTTATAGTGAACAAAGTATAGAAATAATTTTCCAAATGTATTGAAGGCACAAAGTTCCCCACTCTGTTGCAAGATTGTATAAAATCTCTAATTTAGACATAGAATTTTAAGTTTTTGGAATATGGTAGCTCTGCAAATCTCACACAGAAGATTTTAGGAAGGTTTTTTAATGTGCACATTGGTAGTTATCAGTAAGAAATTACAGCAACTGAATGAGCTGCTTTTGGTGGCTAGTGGAAGCTGGAGAAGTGAGGCTAGGTATAAAGCAAAGTGGCTAAGACGCTGAGCTTGTATATCAGAATGGTCGTCAGTTCGGTGGTTCAAATCCCTAGCGCCGCGTAATAGATTGAGCTCCCATTATTTGTTCCAGCTTCTGTCAACCTGGCAGTTTGAAAGTATGTAAAAATGCAAGTAGAAAAATAGGAACCACCTTTGATGGAAAGGTAACAGCGTTCCATGCGCCTTTGGCATTTAGTCATGCCGGCCACATGACCACAGAAACATCTTTGGACAGCACTGGCTCTTTCGCTTTGAAACGGGGATGAGCACTGTCCCCTGGAGTTGGGAACGACTAGCACATATGTGCAAGGTGAACCTTTACCTTTAAAGTATGTCTTAAGAGTGCCGTATCGGTGCTATTGAACTTTCTGGAGAATGTATAGCACCTAGCAATGAATATATTATAATCTTTTGGTTGCTTTCATTTTTCTTACTTTGTATAGAAATATATTGTGTTAGTTTCCTTCTTAGTGTTATTTTTCCATATTTCAGCATGGTCTCTAGTTTTCCTATTTTAAACCCAGTCTCCAGTATGCTTTCCTTATGGTTCCTCCATAAGAGAGATAAATGCTTCCTGTTCTTGTTGAAAGACGAATTCTTAGTTTTTGTTTTTGGAGTCCTATTGAAGCTTGATTTCATACTTTTTTTATTTCACCTATAAGACATCATATTTCTTGTTTTTAGTTGTAACATTTGTTAGTAGCATTAGACTGTCTTCAAGCTCTCACTCATGTTTTGCCTTGGAGAAAGTAAGAAATATCAAAAGTAAATAAGAATCATTTTATTCTCTCAATCAAAAAAAGAAAAAATGCTGCTGCTCTTCTGAGTATTCTGGGCACACCAGAGGAAAAGAGGAAATTGGTAGACAGACAGACAGACACACACACACACACACAAACGACTGGCAAGTAAACCAAACTAATTTGATATATGAAGCCTTTATGTGAAATACAAAATCTACTACTTGATCATGTTACAACATTATAGGTAGTCCTTGACTTACAACAGTTTGTGTAGACTGTTCAAAGTTATAACAGTACTGAAAAAAGTGATTTATGATTGTTTTCTACACTTACAACCGTTGCAGCATCCCCCATGGTCACGTGATCATAATTCAGATGCTTCGCAATTGAGTGATGGTTGCAGTACCATATCATCTTTTGCGACTTCTGAAAAGCAAAGTCAATGGGGAAGCCAGATTCACTTAACGACCATGTTATTAACTTATCAGCTGAAATGATTAAGTTAACAACTGTGGCAGGAAAGCTTGTAAAATGGGGCAAAATTCAGTTTAAATTATCTCACTTAACAACAGAAAGTTTGAGCTCATTTGTAGTCATAACTTGAGGGTTATCTCTATATGTTTTAGATTAGTTTTTGGCTTTGAACAATACTTTTCTTCTACTCCCTAATTTGTATTAATTGAGGAAGTAGGAGTTGTCCAAGCCCACTACTGTTGAGTGTAGAAATGGTTGTAGTGAATAAGAATTTTTCTAGTGAAATAAGCTTTTATTCTAAGCTTTTAATCCTTTACTTTTGTGCATTATGTTTTTTATATTTGTTTTACTGTAATTTTAACAAATATTGGTTGAAAAATATGGATTAAAAAGTATTTTATTTTTGGAATAATAATAACCCCATCCCTCTTTCATAGATCAATGCTTCCTGTGCCACCTGCCGTTGGGCCAGCCTTCAGTTTTGAGCTGGATGTAGAAGATGGTGAAGTAGAAAACTATGAGGTTGGTTAGCAATAAATAAGCATGTGAAGTATAGTCATGAGGATTTAATTAATTTTTTTAAAAAAATTCTCAAGATGTTAGATTAGTTGTAATTGGTGCTAGAAGGCAGTTTACACAATAGTAATTTTTACCTATTATCAGCCAGCTCTCCTTAACACTGTGCAGAAGTCAGAATGATTGTACTGTGAGGGAGGGAAAGTCTAAAATTGTGTGGAAGAATTTCATAGAGCATGTTAGCAATTCTCCTTATGCATAATACCTTTGAAACATCCTCTTTCATGCCACTGTTTTTAGAGGTGATTTTTTTAAAATGCATCCTTGGATGAAAACCATAAAGTGGTGAATGTCTTTGTTTGGGATAGAAAAAATATATTAATTCCATAAAGCTAGTTAATGTGTAAGAATATATCTACACAGATGGATTCCTAAGATCTGTTCATTTTGAATTTAACTGCCAAGTAAGAATTGTTTCCCATATGTGTTTGTGTGTGTGTGTGTTTATGTATGTATGTATGTATGTATGTATGTATGTATGTATGTATGTATGTATGTATGTATGTA